ACACTAAGCGACATTGGGCCAAGGTGAAACATAACACATTTCATCATTTTGTCAATGGTCATATAAATGCCCGATCATTTGCGTTTTCAGCGTATCCAATGAATGCCCGTCCACGTGGTATCTGCGTCATCATCAACAACCGCTACTTCCAGGAAAGCAGTGATGCTACACGTCGCAGCAACAAAGGACAGCATCGTCTTGGGAAGAGGGAAGGGACCGACGCTGACGCCAAGAGATTAGAATACATCTTCAGCAAATTGGAGTTTACCATACGGCTGTGCACCAACCTTACTGACACACAAATGGTGGAGGAACTGCAATGCGTAGCCTCCACAACTGACCATAATCCCTTCAACGCTTTTGTCTGTTGTATTCTGTCTCATGGCGTGAGGGACAGAGTGTACGGGACAAACTGTAGAGAAGTCAAAATTTCTGATCTCACAGCCCCTTTCAGGGCATCAGCGTGTCCTTCCTTAGCAGGCAAACCTAAAATGTTCTTCATCCTAGCAGCCCAAGGCAACATCCGAATGCAAGGCTTGAACGTTGAGGACAGGTTAGACTTGCCAGTGCCATCTGAAGGAACAGCAATCGATGCATCTGTGGTAAGAGGCGACCCACCGCATGACAGATCTGACAAACCGAAATGCCCTTCTGAGAGATCCCACAAAGAGCTTGACATCATCCCTGACGAATCTGATTTCCTTCTTGGGTATGCAACAGCACCAGGATACGTGTCCTACAGGAGCAAGCGACACGGTTCTTGGTACATCATCAAGCTGGCTGAAGTGCTTGAAAAGCACGGAGACAGGCAGGATCTCCTCAGCTGTTTACTGATGGTGAACGATGAGGTAACTAATAATAATAATAATAAGTGTTCTTGTATAGCGCACAAATCAAACTGCAAGGCAATTTCTCTAGGCGCTAAAAGATAGAGTGATCTGAAGAAAGGATTAAAGTTCATAAGCTTGTTTAAAAAGGAAAGTTTTCAGTTGGGACTGGAAAGATTCCACGGACGCGGCTTGTCGGATGTGAAGAGGCAGTGAGTTCCAGAAAAGGGGAGCTGTGTAAGAGAACTGTCTATGTCCATATGACTTTAATCTGACCTTGGGGACATTCAACTGACAATTAGAACTTGATCTTAAAAGCCGTGGTGGGACATATTCACTGAGGAGATCTTTCAGATAGATTGGAGCTTTGTCATGGAGGCACTTGAAAGCGAGAGTGAGGATTTTATATTCTATTCTCTGTTTCGTGGGCAGCCAATGTAAGCGTATCAGCAATGGTGTAATGTGACTGCGCTTGTTGACTCGGCAAATCAATCGCGCCGCAGAGTTCTGAATCCTCTGGAGCTTGGACAATAGATCTTGGCGGATATTTACAAGAAGACTGCAGCAATAATCCAAACGTGAGAGAACAAGTGAACGAACTAGGTGGTGAGCTGCATCAAATGTCAGAATATCACGAATGGAAGCAATATTTCTGAGATGAAAATAGCATGACTTACAAACAGAGTTTACGTGTGTTTCCATGGATAAATTTGAGTCTAGAAAAACACCAAGGTCTTTCACGGAATCACTGAAAGGAACTTTCTCATTACCCACTACCAACGAAGACACATCCACCTTAGCAGTGCTACTGGGTGATCCACACAGCAAAACCTCGGTCTTACTGTCATTTAATCTCAGCTTCCTTTGTATCATCCATGCTTTGGAGTCAAGGATACAGTCTTCGATTATAGACATATCGGCTGGAAGTGAGTCCGGTTTAGTGGAACGCAACAGCTGGGTGTCATCAGCATATGACTCGTACATCACAACATGATGCCGAATGATATTGCCGAGATTCTTCATATAGAGTGAAAAGAGAATGGGCCCAAGAACGGAACCTTGTGGCACTCCGTATGTAAGCTGATGCGTACACGATTTCACGTCTTGAATGACCACAGATTGTGTCCTATTATTGAGGTATGAGACAAACCATCCAAGAGCTGTGCCATGAATACCAAATTCTGTTTTCAGACACTCAGTTAGTTGAACATGGTCAATGGTATCAAAAGCCGCTGATAAATCAAGCAGCGTTAGAACTGTAACATAGCCCGCATCAGCTGCAGCAAGAAGTCTCTCCATCACATGCAGAAGTACGGTCTCTGTGGAATGATCGGAGCGATATGCAGACTGATGCACGTCATAGAGATCATTCAAGGTCAAGTGATCAACAAGGCGTACCTTGATTGCCTTCTCAAGCAATTTTGATATGAAGGATAAATTAGAGACAGGCCTATAGTTCGATACAAATTGTTGACCCCTACCTGCCCAGAACATAATGGGTGACACACCCCCCACCCTTAACATCATCATCATCCCTAGCCATTAATTATGAACGGTTATAAGCTTTAAATCAAATATATTGCCTCAAAATCCCTCTTCGACCAATCCAAAAAGCAAAATCTCTACAATGCTTATACATTCTTCATCTGCTCGCCTTCAGTGTGTATTATATTGCCCTAGCTGTAGGTCTGCTTTCTGAACGACCACACAATGGAGTTCATGTAGATTATAACGCTTGTGGTGTGACTGTCATCAGTGAATGCCCAGCCTAAGCACAAACAATATCTTAAGCGCCATGGACTCATTTTTTTATGACTGTGGCTGACATTTGGAGCAGAGAGAATCACCCTATTAATAGATGGAAGACTACAAACGGGCTTGTACTTCAGAACCAGATCTGTTGTAACAAATAGGCCTTGCCCACGAGCTGTAGATGAGATGTAGAGCTGACACGAGGGCAGACAATCATATAAATAGTCAACATTTCCTAGATGTCTTGCACTATTCCAGCTGCTCAAACATTTTGCAACTGTTGAGATACAACTAAGCATGTATGTCCTAAGAAGATAGGAAAGGGCGCCTCGTGGCTCTTGCTCAGAGGTTGTTTGATAAGGATTACAGTATTCAGGATTTTAGTACAAGTTTCTAAAAGATAATTAGTGAAAGATAGTTCTGAATTTGTGGCCTCAGTGATCAGCATACAGGCCTACACTGAAATCTATATTATTCTACAGACGTTTGATTAATCAACACCATATAAAATCTACTGAAACAGGTTCCAAATGGTTTAAAGACAAACTAGGAATGAAAATTCTCAACATTGGTAAACGGTCCTGGTGTTTCTGTAGCACCCGCCACTCACACACATTTCACTAACATTTAGACTGTCAGTATATGAGGAGGTGTATATCCCCATGTGATATCACAGTACGGGATGGTATATTAGCTATTATTTCATCAAAGTGCCGTAACATTTGGTGGTGAAAAGCAAAATATGTCTTTCCGTGACATTTGTATTGCATGTACATGCCCTCAAGTACCTCAGCATGTATCCAAAAGCTGATCGCATTTGGACGTCGTAAAATGAAATTTCAATCTTCTTTCGTCTCTTGGCTTGAAACAGAATTTTTATCACTATTGTTTGAAAGTTTACGTTGAATACGATGACTTTTCTCAGACGTCAAATGAAACACATTTTCCTGAGATTTGACGTTGTGTTTGACGTCATTAAGTTCTTTGCAACGTACTTCTTTAAGACTCAAGCACCTTATTTAACCTGATAACATATCTCTCAGTTGAGTTTATTTTTTCAAGTGTTACGGCAAGGTTAAACTAGACTGATAGGGGCACAGTTGCCATCTAATTCCCAGAGGATCCACATACAAGGCAGGTCACCATCATCATCATTATTGCAATGTTCCTCATGTAATGACAGTGCACCCCAAATACCACCTATAACTACAACAGAGAAATGTACAACCAACCGTCAAGAGACACCTTTGATTTGTTTTGTAAATTAACGCCATTGCAAAACGGAGATGCAACGGACCCATCACAATACTTAACAACAGTTATCATGGAAACAAGAAATGTAAACAATAGTTGATCACCTATAAATCATTAGTTGATTGTCTATAAAAGTACATTAACTACTGATACAGATATGTTTAACATCTCAAGATGTGCGTCGGTCGGAATATTCACGGATTTGTTCAACTTTCAACAACTAAAGTTAACCATATAATTCCATTGTTGGTATGTCTCTCCATTGTATAATCATACCCTGTCTTAAGCTGTAATTGATATAATCACGGAGTTTAATGTTTGAAGATACATTTGAGCAGAAGTTTACAAAGTCCAGTACATTCGGCTATCTGTCCATTTTAAATTGCCTAAAAATGTTAGTTTTCCTCGTTACATTCAACTCCTTTCTATTCAACTAGTATATATTTCTTCCTCCACAGTGGAAAATCCAGAACATACATACATACATGTATGACATATGGTCCCTTATCTCATCTTCTGTTATATATTGCTCTCCCAAGTAAGGAGTTACACATTCCCTGAACTGATTCGCTGACAACAGTCATGTTCTCTACAGGTCTACTGCTATGGATGCTCTACATCACAAGCTCAGTTGCTGGTGAGAATTGTAAACTGAAACCATAATGTACAGTCCATAATGTCAAATAATGTCAACGGTTTCTGATAAGAGTACAATTTATTTAAAAATGCATTTTATTATCACATATGAACTTCGTCAGACAGTGTTAGATAACGAAATTGTGGTTTTATGCTTTTTAATACCTAAAACTGCTGGTCAGTGTTGATACCTCTTTAGGTGTAAATAAATGTTGAAATACCTCAAAACACCATACATACATAATACAGCGTGATATGTTGTCATTACTGAAGAAGTTACCTGAGTCAGTTGTCAACCTGTACAGGAACATATTCCACGACAAAAGCTACAGGCAATGAGACTGTATCATGTTACGCTAACACGTACTGAGCAATTGACAAGTAACTATAGTCGCCTTTGCAACAATAAGTACAAAAGTATTAGTCTAGCGGTGGAAAAATAAGGCAATAAGTGGAATGGTGTCCAGTTCTGAAAACTTTCATTTTTTTATCAATCAGGTTCTGCAATGTACCACGGCTGCCAGTTTAAATTTCCCCTGGTCTCTTTTGATGATTACCCCCAGGAAATATCTGAGTATCTACATGTCACACACACAAGAGAAGGCGGGTGCAATGTGACAGACGTCGACGGGGCGGAGTACGCTATCCAGCTGCTTGGGAACGACAGTGTCACACAGTTCCACCTTCCGATACACAAACAAATGGCCATGGGTTCTGTTGTAGTGGAGCATCGTGCAGTGGAGCTAATTTGCACAACGGAAGTCAGTCTCACTGTCATGTTGCGAACGCTGGACGGGGGTGTAGCCGATGCATTTCCGGTCCTTCCATTGGCGTCTCTGTCAACCAAGTATATCATACCATCAGTGCCAAACAACGCTTTGCTCGGAGTGATGTCTGTCCACAACAACACAAATGTCACATCTTAACTCCACCTGTTCATACCCCTTCAGGGGTGACGATTACGGGCAGGGAAGCAAGTTAAATATTGCTCCGCAACAGGGAGAGTTATTCCAGTTCACTTCAAACACAAGTAGTACTCTCAATGTATGTGATCTGGGAGGGACCGTTGTAGAGAGCAGTCATTCAGTTGCAGTGTTTTCAGGCTCTCCTATGTTGTGCTATCCTGGGAATAGATGTGATGGAGCTATGAGTCAAGTTCCCCAATAGAAACACTGGGGACGTCGTTCATTGTGCCCCTGGTTCCTGGAATTGATCAATACAGCATTCGAATTACAGCAGTGTATAATGGTACCAAAATCACCATTGACACATTCACAAGTGTTGAGTCTATCATCTTGAATGAAGCGGAGGTTTACGATAACTCCTTCAATAAAACATTTGCTGTATACATCAGAAGCTCTCATCCAGTACTTGTGTTACAAATAGCCGGCAGTACTGATTACCAGGTGCTTACTTCGATCGTTCGACCAACTGATGCCTATGGCACTGACTATGTAATACCCGACATCCAGGGCGGTTCCAAGACGTTCACAACTATCACACTATCATCACAACCTCAAAGTGTACATCACATATAAACATAAGCTTAAAATGGTCAATTCAGTCAACAGACTCCAACACATTCGCCATAGCCAACTTCTATCCTCGCTCCGGTTCCCTCGCCATTAAAAGTAATTCCTCAGTCTGTCCTTTTGGCGTACTCGTCACTGGTGTAGCAGACAACGAGATGTATGGGTATTTTAGCGCCCCAGCGCCCCAGCGCCAGATGGTGGTGAGTACACTAGTTACAGTGCTATTTACCCTACATGTGTAGCTCATAGTTCCAATCCAAACATCTTTAGCTTTTTCAACATTAATTTTGAGGCGAAACATTTTATATAATTAGGCATTGTTTTCATTGCAGCTTGCGTTTATATGAGTGAATGAGATTAGTTTGGACCAGGGATCAGCAGCATGAACATCGATCTACGCAACTGGGATACGATGACATGTTTCAACCCAGTAAGCTAGCCTGACTACCCGATCCCATTAGGCGCCTCTTACGACAAGCATTGGTTATTGAAGATCAATTCTAACCCGGATCCTCACGGGTCTGCGTTTATATGAACAGCTAAGAAGATGGCAAAAGCAGTCACGTAAAGAGAGGGGTTCACAATCACCCAGCTAGATGCCAAGAGCAACTGAAAACTGTGTAAACATCGGAAACAGTCTGCACCCATATGTTTTACCCATGGGGTAATTAGAATGATTTGAAAGACCAGGTACGGGTATTATCAACATAGAAGCAATCAGCTGCAGTGCAGCGTTTTCTTAATTAATTAACGAGGCTAGATCAGTGTAGAATGCAGATTTAGACGTATCCATATGATATATTTGAATCATATTTTGGAATTCCTTAAATATATGTGTAACTACAGTACCTGTGCATGTTTCAGTATCTCTGGAACACTCAGTTAACCTAACTTGCTCTCAAGACAACTGAATACTCAAGACATCGCCACTGTATTCCCGACCTCTGTTATGATGAACATCTTCATGTCGAACGCCTTCTGTCCTGGCGTCCTGGAGGGAGATGTCCTTGTGTTTAATGTCTCCTACAAAGATTGCAACACACGTATCGAAGTATGATATAATTGTTTTTTATGTCCACTATAAGGATTGCAAGACTCTTGCCGAAATATGATGTCCTTGTGTTGAATGTCTCCTACAAAGATTGTAACACACGTATCGAAGTATGATGTCCTTGCGTTTAATGTCTCCTACAAGGATTGTAACACACGTATCGAAGTATGATGTCCTTGCGTTTAATGTCTCCTACAAGGATTGCAACACAATTTTCGAAGTATGATGTCCTTGTGTTTAATGTCTCTTACAAGGATTGCAACACAATTTTCGAAGTATGATGTCCTTGCTTTTAATGTCTCTTACAAGGATTGCAACACACTTGTCGAAGTATGATGTCCTTGCGTTTAATGTCTCCTACAAAGATTGCAACACAATTTTCGAAGTATGATGTCCTTGTGTTTAATGTCTCCTACAAGGATTTCAACACAATTGCTTATAATGTCTTGAAATAAGGATTGCAACACAATTGTATGATGTCCTTTTTCATCGTCAAGGACATGTTTACGTGTGCAAGGCGATTGAAAGTGTCCTTCTGAGAAATGTACACCATGAACATTTTCATTGAAAATTTAGCATTATAACCACCCGTTCCCTTAATGTATGGAGTGTTCTCCAAAGGCGAATTGGAGTATTTCCTTGTTTTTCCGTAACATTCTCAATATATATGCCTCATCAGCCATACCTAAATATAGTTTTAGTAGTCGTGGCTCTTTTTTAATACTTGTGGATTTTTAAACATTGACACACAGATCAATGTAATGTATCAGAACTGAGCAGAACTGCCTTTCTATTTTGCCGTAACGACTTAAATCAGGCAGGTGTACACTAAGTAGCGCCATTGTGTCGACAGTGTGTTTAGGAAACACTGTTAAATAGTGATGATATCAGGTGTCCTGTCCCATATGTGGCACCCTTCACAAGCACAAGGGAGGTCAAATGTTCTCCTGAAAACACACAGGAACATTATGGTAAATAGGGATCTGTCGGAAATCAACGCCTCAAAATTGGAAATGCACTCCCCATCAATACCATAAGCCTTTCGAGCTTTACTGGGGACTTAAATGTCGAAACATTGAACAAAATAACTTTAGGCAAAATTGCTGAAAATGTCAGATTAAAGACTCAGTTTGTCAATTACCATGACTGGATGACGCTGTAAGATAAGCATACTGTCTGTTTTGAATTTGCGAAATAGGAATCAGTGGGACAGGAAATGGTAAAACAGCTGGTCGATGATCGAACCTTTAAGAGGCTCTTGTAAAATTATTTCAAATGATGTACTGGAAAAGTACATACTCGTACCTTACACTTTGGATGGATCACCTGTTTCAGGAAAACAACAATACAGTGACATTCAGCAACTATCTGATTGAATATGAGAGAGACGCACAGACAAATCTAGTGAACGGTGCAAAGTGGCGCTACAACTTGGAATGTGTCCTTCAAAGACACGAAACCGATGTGAAAACGTTCGTTCCCGTTGACAAGTCCAAGGTCACCATTCAGGCAACAAGCAAAATTCAAGGTCATGAGGCTGACATAACGTTTTTAACAGATGCTGCTTACACAAACGAAATGGGACTCTGCTTGAGGTCAGTCTCGGGTCACGTGTCTACGTCCAGGTAGAGACCAGTGTTGCTGCCGATGTCAAACTGCTGGTGGACAACTGCTACATCACCACGGATATCACGAGCGGAAACTCGAAACGTCCCAATTATACTTAACAGGTAAACTCATATCTATAACATGTAATAAAGATACGAATACACGATACCCGTATGTAGACAAATGTAACAAATGTCATATTTAGGATTACACTTACTTAGTAAAGTCTAGTCATTATTTCAAACTCACTTACTGAGGCACCACTTCAACGATGTAACCCATTCATGCACTAAGGCCTCTACAACATAATGTAGTGTGAGAACACGTCGTTAAGATCACGTAAACTGTGTACAGTGTGTAAAGCCATTTGGTGGTTAACTCTGAGAGTGTGGTTGGGACGGTTCTGGAATGTCTACTTTATAAAGAAAGTGTAATCCCGAATATAACAGTTGTTTCTTTCGGGAATATGATCATATATGTAGCTTGGAAAGAACGGTATGGTAAGTAGCTTTCATGATGACAGAACTGTTGTTTCACCATAGAGAGTTGCTTATGATTATTGCCCTTTGTGTGTTGGTACAGGTGTGAAGCCAACCATTTCACGCATATCATTGGACATGTTTACAACTAAACACGTTTCTACTTCGACGTCTTCGAAATGCCCCATCACCATGACAACATGTACCTCACATGTGACGTCAGTTTCTGTCCACTCATGGACTTTTCATGCAATGCCAAATTGGATGCCTCAGCACAAATCCGTAGCAGAGAGAACCGATTACATTAAGAATAAGATTATGATGTAGTTGTGAAATGCAATCTCATGTTGCAAATTTTCAAAAATGAAACGGACAACTTTATGGAATAAACAACTCTGTGCAAACATCCATAAAGTTGTATGTTTCATTCTTGACTCACCAACTTCAAAACTCCCCAACTTCACCAGTCAAAACGAAAACTTCCACTCTTTCAGTTTCAAACTGGAAATTGGAATTGTGTTATCTACAGTTTGTCTCAGTTATTCTATGAGTCATGAGAGCTTTGGGAAGGGGGCTCTCAGTGCACAGCTGTTCTGTCCTTTACACACTGCACCGGTTGCTTATTACTGAGATCTCGTACAAATGGCTTATCTGGTGGAAACTAGCAGATGCAAGAAAATAAAATGTGACCTTCATGAAAGTCAATGAATTTGAAATCCGGGAACCGAATATTTTATCGGTCCCTCTTCAAGACAAACAGTCATTTTCCCTCTGTAATCAACATCGAGCTCAATTTGACACTGTGGGTATCTGATATCTGTTAACAGAATATAGCATTCATTCATTCAACCGAACGGCATGGAAAGTTGCTAATAATACAAATCACCGGTTCTGTGGTCAAGGGACTCCAATAATGCAAAAGTGGCGATTAACATCCACCCTGGTCATAAGCATAAGATATACAGATACATATCGGAAATAGGTATACGGTACAGGTATATGGCGGTGGTCTGTAAATAATCCAGTCTAGACCAGACAATCCAGTGATCAACAGCATGAGCATCGATCTACGCAATCGTGTACGATGACATGTGTCAACCAAGTCATCGAGACTGACCACCCGATCCCGTCAGGTTCGCTGACTTGGTTGACACATGTCATCGTATTTATATTGCTTAGACCGATGCTCATGCTGTTGATCACTGGATTGTCTGGTCCAGACTCGATTATTTACAGATCGCCGCCATATATCTGGAATATTGCTGAGTGCGGCGTAAATCTAAACTCACTCACTCAGAATCACAAGAGGTCATCCGTTCATGTTAAATGACACTATAAAAACAGTGGCTTCCACATCGTCGGTTATCCCACAGAACTGTCCGGAATCACCTAACATCGGCCGGGTGTAGGTCCAAACGACCAATCAGACAACTGTTGCTATCCCCAGAGCTCAAGGTAGCACGACTAGCTCGGTGTCAAGGTCGACGTCACTGGAATTCGTTTGTTCCTGACTGTTCGTGTTCAACACTGCAGAAACAGTGCACATATCGGAATATCTGGGCGCATGTATCGGGCCTTCTTTGAAGGTGATGCCTCTCGCGTGACTGTAAACTTGACCTTGTGACGATCAGACAAAATGGACAACTGTACATCACTGACATCCTGGACAGGGTCTCGTACCTCGGAATCCAAGGCCAGTATTCATGGACGAATTCCAGAGATCCTCCAGTACAAAATCTTGATGTATGGAACAGGCTCTCCATCAAGAACAAATCGTGATGTTATTTTACCTGGCGTAACATCAAATTCAACGTCAGTGAGGAGAATATGTCGGTGATGTTATTTTAGTTGGCGTAGGTTACACCAGATACTGACAATGTGCTTGGTTATTGGTAATAATGTGATTTCTGAAGGACCTTAACATCAAATTCAACGTCAGTGAGGAGAATATGTCGGTGATGTTATTTTAGTTGGCGTAGGTTACACCAGATAATGACAATGTGCTCGGTTATTGGTACTAATGTGATTTCTGAAGGATTGTATGCCAGTGTTTTGAACATGACCGCACCTGTTAACGTCATACGACTAAAGTTACGAGCACAAGAAAATGAGTCAGTGTTTTGCCATGTTTAATTCGCTTGCATGAATAAACTGTAGGTTTTCTTCCTTTTCTATTTTTATTTTGTCATTTGATTATTCCTTGAGGGTCAATTCGGAAAATAAGTTCAACCGCGGTTTTGGTACGTTCCTTTGCTAAGGTTAAAATAGTAACATATTGATGATACTAAAAATATGCTACGTTGCGATACCTTTCTACATATGTATGTAATACTTTAGCCATAATGAAAGTAATATCTTCTCCCATAGTCTTCTATGGTATTGTGTTTTGAAATAGGATTTTCAAAGGTCTCACATGAAAAGAATATGAGTACATGCAAAATGTTTTTTAAATAAGTTTCTATATTACTTTAGGAGGGTCAAGTTGAAATTCCACAATGCTATAAGTGACTGAGGTGATTTTTAACATAAGAGTGTCAGTATAACCTCCTATGTATTAAACACATACAAGGAAGTATTTACGACATCTGGGACACTGTGACGAACTGAAACTGAGTCAGCTACCTTTGTTATAACGGCCAATGCACGGTCTGTGGGTCGCTTCAGCTGTTGTGTGACTCATGGTCATGGTCTTTACTCCACTAAATTACCCAACCCATGTTTCGTATCGCTTAACAATTGTACAACAATGTCATCGGCAGGTAAGTTTTAAAACTGATTAATAATATTTGCACAAAGTATGTGTAAAACGTACAAATTTGAATTTTCTATTCAGTTGCATGTGTACACAGTGAGAGTCATATTTTGAACAAAGTGCAACGTTAACATGGAACTTTGAACCGAACTTTCGCTTTATCATTAAAGCTATTAAGTTGACACCATAAAACCTCCTCTTTGGTGCCAATAGTTCTCGTACCCGTACAGAACCCATGTGTCAATATATGTCTCACCAATATTGTGTTTGTAACATTTATACATAAATGACGGCATTTTGGGAGCACATCCAACACCGTTATTTTGTAAACAGTTTATATGACGTATAGTCATGTTCCTTAACGTAATGAAAGCAAAACCGACAGAATAGAAGTGGTCTCTAATATATGATACTATTTAAAGGAACGATGGCATGCTTCATCACAAACGACTAGGAAGTAGGATGTTGTTGTTAATATGTTCCTCAAGCGTCCGCGTCCGACAAAATCCGCGTGGAAACATCCGAATGCATCATTACTAATGAACACCCATACTTCTGACTGGCGGCGAGAACTATCTACGAGAACTATCGACGCATCCATAAGCATTAAGGTTTTATTGTTTATTTTTAAGAATTTTGTACCTAGATATAGCAGATTACGAGATCCTTTTCTTTGTATTGAGGTCTTTCATTGTCGTGATTTGCACTCGTAATGTTCAATATTGTTAATGTATGTGGTTTAATAGATTGATCAGGCTGCCCAATGTTAGCATTCAACCAACAAGTTAGGATAATCGTGGATAGCCTGAAACTGCCCACTCGTTTTGAAATATTTCGTGTGCAAGCATTCCATTCAGTACACCTTCCGTATACTCCCGTGTATACTGCTGTTATAGTTTATGTATTTTACCTTGTTTTCAGGATAATTGCACACAATGCAACAATATATGTGCCTGTCCATAGTGATCGTGATGTTTCTCAGACATGGATACACAGATGAATCAGGTATGACCCCCACACCACACTAACACTACACGAATCAGCTGGGACCCCCACACTAACACTACTCGAATCAGGTGGGACCCCCATACTAACACTACTCGAATCAGGTATGACCCCCACACTAACACTACACGAATCAGCTGGGACCCCCACACTAACACTACTCGAATCAGGTAGGACCCCCACACTAACACTACACGAATCAGCTGGGACCCCACACTAACACTACTCGAATCAGGTAGGACCCCACTAACTACTCGAATCAGGTATGACCCCACACTAACACTACTCGAATCAGGTAGGACCCCACACTAACACTACTCGAATCAGGTAGGACCCCACACTAACACTACTCGAATCAGGTATGACCCCACACTAACACTACACGAATCAGCTATGGACCCCACACTAACACTACTACTCGAATCAGGTAGGACCCCACACTAACACTACACGAATCAGCTGGGACCCCACACTAACACTACTCGAATCAGGTAGGACCCCCACACTAACACTACACTACTCGAATCAGGTAGGACCCCACACTAACACTACTTGAATACTAACTCGAATCAGGTAGGACCCCACACTAACACTACTCAGAATCAGGTAGGACCCCACACTAACACTACTCGAATCAGGTAGGACCCCACACTAACACTACTCGAATCAGGTAGGACCCCCAACACTACTTCAGAATCACTACTTGAATCAGGTATGACCCCACACCAACACTACTCGAATCAGGTATGACCCCACACCAACACTACTCGAATCAGGTATGACCCCACACCAACACTACTCGAATCAGGTAGGACCCCACACTAACACTACTCGAATCAGGTAGGACCTACACAACTAACACTACTCGAATCAGGTATCACCCACCCACACTAACTACTCGAATCAGGTATGACCCCCATACCCACACTAACACTACTCCAATCAGGTATGACCCCACACCAACACTACTCGAATCAGGTATGACCCATACACTAACACTACTCGCAATCAGGTATGACCCCACACTAACACTACTCGAATCAGGTATGACCCCCACACTAACACTACTCGAATCAGGTATGGCCCATACACTAACACTACTCGAATCAGGTATGGCCCATACACTAACACTACTCCAATCAGCTATGACCCCCCACACTAACACTACTGATTCAGGTAGGACCTCCACTAACACTACTCGAATCAGCTATGGCCCATACACTAACACTATCCGAATCAGGTAGGATCCCCACACTAACACTACACGAATCAGCTGGGACCCCCACACTAACACTACTTGAATCAGGTATGACCCCACACCAACACTACTTGAATCACTACTCGAATCAGGTATGACCCCACACTAACACTACTCGAATCAGGTATGACCCCACACTAACACTACTCGAATCAGGTATGACCCCACACTAACACTACTCGAATCAGGTATGACCCCCACACCAACACTACTCGAATCAGGTAGGACCCCACACCAACACTACTTGAATCACTACTTGAATCAGGTATGACCCCACACCAACACTACTCGAATCAGGTATGACCCCACACCAACACTACTCGAATCAGGTAGGACCCCACACCAACACTACTCGAATCAGGTATGACCCCACACCAACACTACTCGAATCAGGTATGACCCCACACCAACACTACTCGAATCAGGTATGACCCCACACCAACACTACTCGAATCAGGTATGACCCCACACCAACACTACTCGAATCAGGTATGACCCCACACCAACACTACTCGAATCAGGTATGACCCCACACCAACACTACTCGAATCAGGTATGACCCCACACCAACACTACTCGAATCAGGTATGGCCCCACACCAACACTACTCGAATCAGGTATGACCCCACACCAACACTACTCGAATCAGGTATGACCCCACACCAACACTACTCGAATCAGGTATGACCCCACACCAACACTACTCGAATCAGGTATGACCATGGCCCATACACTAACGCTGCTTGAATTAGGCACGACCCATACTGCTCGAGTGAGCTAGGGCTGCTTATCTTATCCTTTCGTTCGAGTCAATGCTTGACATGATGTTCGACGACATTAAGAAGTGTGTTGGACCTGCCGTTTTGGGTACGTTTGCATTATATCTGATATAAGTAGTATACTGCTGACTGTAAGGTAAACAGCCTCAATCAGTTAGTATACGTGTTTTAATGAGAACACTGCAACCCTCTCTTACCCGATACTTAACAATTTCAGTGGCATGTCCAGTGGGTGTCTGGGGGTCCGGATGTAGTGAGAGGTGTCCAGACGTATGTCGGGACAACTGTTCCAGTCAAGGACTATGCACTGACTGCATCACAGGATACTTCGGAATAACATGCAACCAAACATGCCCCCCTAACTGTTCTGGAGGACGATGCTATAGGTTTAATGTGTCGTGCGTTGACGGGTGCAAACCTGGCTGGTATGGTAAAAGTGCGACCAAACTTGCCTGTGTCAATCAGGGGTTTGTGAACGCAACACAGGAAAATGTATATTAGCTCCACAGAGAATTGTATTGCCCAATGATGAAACTTCAGCTCATTCAATACCAAAAGAAACCTGCTTAAGCGAAGTTACTCGACATCGATGCAAAAGAAAAAACTGTTTTCAGGACAATAGTACTTGGGTTTGCGATGGTTGTGTTGATGGATTCAAAGGACATCAGTGTTCTCAACATTGTCTTCGGAACTGTAAGTCTTGTAAACAGCTAGGATCTTTATGCACCGAATGTCGGAAGGGTTTCTATGGTAGGACCTGTCAGAAGCGATGCTCTAAATGTAAAGATGGTTGTCACCTGCGTTATGCCAAATGTCAAGGTCACTGTGTAGATGGTTACCATGGCCCCCTGTGCAGTAAACGTTGTGGCATTAATTGCAAGACCAGGACTGCAAGACTCGGACCGTGCAATCAGGATACCGGGACGTGCAGTCTAAGTTGTAACGACGGGTATTATGGCGATGTTTGCCAGAGAAAATGTTTTAGAAACTGTACATCTGCTGGAAAGTTCCAATCCTGCCATTCTGTGTGTCGTCGGGAGATTCGGGAAAGCATGCCTGAAGCTGCTTCTTATAACGGCTCATCTGATCACCCAGGCACTGTGCTTGGAGCGACATGTAAGTGTTTGCATTTAGTTTCGTGAGAGTCCAAATTAGGAAAGAATTAGACATCGTTATCCATGAAACTTTTAAAATGTTAATTAAACTTAAAAAAAAAAGTATTTTCCCTATTTTTATTCTGTAACGATGAATATACGTTATAGGATAACACGAGAACAATGGTGTGACCCTCAGTCTGGATGTGTACCCCTCGACTGAAACCCCGAACTTTTCTCCCCGAGTAAAAAGCTTTCAACGAATTAATCTAGACTCCATTTAACACAATTTAAAAAACAGACGGAGACTGAGATATTAATAGTTATCGCCATTTTGCAAGGTCACAGTTCTGGCTCTGTGCATCACGTGCATCTAATGTCAGTGTTCATATACTTTAGACGAAGCTGGTTCGCTGTAAAGAGCTTTTATCCCAGACAGCTGATCAGCAAAATGTCTGTTGCCATGTGGATACCGGTTGATATCACTTTATCAAGGGCGTAGTGGGTACACGGCAATGTATCAAACCATTGACTATTAATAGTTCACATGTAACGTAACGTACATATTGATGTATAAAAGTGTATCGATGTATTTAAGGTTGTAATCAAGGTGTATAAAACTGAATAAGTGAGTATGGTTTTACGCCACTTTTAGCAATATTCCAGCATTATCACAGCAGGGGACACCAGAAATGGGCTTCACACTTTGTACCCATGTGGGGAATCAAACCCGGGTCTTTGAAGTGACGAGCGAACGCTTTAACCACAAGCTACCCCACCGATCCAAAGGTGTATAAAGCATGTGAAGGTGTAACAAGGATATCAACAGATTTAACTGTAATATATTCGTCATGTTGCCTCCTTTGTAGATGTCAGCAGCACCGTGGTGGTTGCCGTGATCATAACAATAGTAGTGGCTGGCTTTATTGTTGTGTTTGCCACTTTAAACTGGTGAGTGGGTTGCTTTATTCATACTATAAACATATAATCTATATTAAACCTGTGTTTTGTTGTCACGATTATGTAAAAGAAATACGTATGATTCAGTATCAGGACGTTAGCAATCATCTGAGTGAGTGAGTTTGGTTTTACGCCGCTTTGAGCAATATCACAGCGGGGGACACAATAAATGGGCATCGCACGTTGTACCCAAGGTTGCAATGCAAGGACATTAGGACTTTGTTATGGGAGAAAACAAAAGACCGACCCGGATCTACGTGAGTAAATCGAGTTCCACTTCCATGGGTTAATTTAAACGCATGTATAGACGCAGATCGGAGGCCTGACAAGTTATGAAAGAAAGTCCTGGCGTGATTTCAGAGTCCCTTGTCTGTTAAGTTGCACACACGATATATATTTAAAAAATTATTTCGGAAATAATGCTTTTATCATCGAACTTGATCTCATTTGTGTTCATGTGTATGTTTCAGGTGCGTTTTACCACGAAAGCGGAAAACGGAACAAAAGGTACGGGTTATTTTTATGGTTCCACCAGAAGAATTGCCTCAAGACAGTGACATTTACGATGGAAACCAAGGTAACGAAACTGCGTCCAATACATCGATGCTTGGATCAAATCAGCCTGATGACCTCGAGAGGGCCTATCTAATGCTTCCGCCATATATTCACTCCACCAACCACAGGCTACAGTTAGAACGCGAGAGCGAACACCATTACGAATCTTTGGACAGCATCCACGAAGGTCATCGACATATCAACATGCAGGATGGACAAGAACGTTTCCCCACGCACCTTGCACGTCAATATATCACTGACAGAGGCCAGGCATCGTATGTGTAATTGTAAGTCTTAGCGAGGTGTCTGAGGTGAAATCAGTGTACAATTACACGTTGTCCTGTATAACCTTGTAGACCGGTAGATACATGGTTCAGTTGTGCTGACAGTGGAAGTGAGTGAGTGACTTAAGTTTTACGCCGCTTAAATTTATATTGATAGTGATAAACAATATGTAACGTGCTCAGCCTTGCACGCGTCGCTTCATTTCCCTATAGGTGCGGTGGGGTAGCTTAGTGGTTAAAGCATTCGCTCGTCACGCCAAAGACCCGGGTTTGATTCCTCACATGGGTATAATGTGTGAAGCCCATTTCTGTTGTCCCACGCCTGAAATTTCTGGAATATTGCTACAAACGACGTAAAGCCATATTCTCTCACTCATTTCCCTATTTAGGATCATTTAGATACTGTTAGAAATCATGACACTACAATAGTTAAATACATTTTTGTAGAAATTGAGGTTAATTCACATTACATGTTACATGTATTGTTACATATGTATTACGCTCTCTCAGCAAAGTTCAACGCCAATTATAACCTATGTTACATTTCACCACTTTTTGTATGACATTGTGTTAATTTTTGTTGTTTCAATATTTATTTGCGGATATAAAGCGGGCCTACTTGAATGATTAATATCATACAAGGAAGATATCCCAGTACTCTTATGCACATCACTCATTAGTTCCACTACCGCGTTCGGTACGTCATGGAATGATGGAAATAAACATACACTGTGCTATATATTATCGTTTTCTATCTCCTGTTCAAAAAGAGAGGTACCATGGCAAAAAGTAGGGGATGTTTTATTTTCAGATGAAGCTACAGGAACAATTTCAATGTATGAAAGTAGGTGAATTTAATGTCCGAATCATCCAGCTACGAACCAAAACAATATTACAGTCATGAAGTAATACACGTGCAAGAGGTGGTATCTCAGAGTTACCATTGTCAGTCAGATCATGCAAATGTGTTTCTTGTAACCAACCACTCAATGACAAATTATCACATAATCATTAAGGAAGTGACAAACTTTATCACACGAAGCCTGCAACGTGCTGAACGTTTACGGGTCGTAGACATGTTGCAAGTGTGCTCACATCAGAATATTGTTGCCCAAAAGCAACCTGATTGTCAAACTGTCATGATCAGGTTGTTGGCTCTTTTACCAACCAGCACATAAAGTGACGATCGTCAAGGGCAACATAAAGTGACGATCGTCAAGGGCAACACCTCCAACCCAGGGTAGATTAGAATCCCAGCATTAATAAATCAGTTGCAAACTGTTCCACAGGTAAAGGACAACTAGTCCAAGAGTACATGCCCAGACGGTGTGTCGCTTGTGCAGATGGTATTTGGGTTCACAACTTCCATGTGCTAGACCACAACGTACTCAACGTCCCTTGAATCAACGGAGTCTGTGGTGTCACCTTATGCCCCACTCAGTGTCACCATTATCACAAGCCATTTTCAATCAACATGACTGACATAAAACAACGTAAGAGAGTTTTAGGTATGATGTGAAAAAACATTTAACAGTATTTGACTTAATGAGAAGAAAAATGTTAAAGAAAATAAATAAAGTGACAGATATGATTTACATAAAAACAAACTCTCTACTGTAAAAGCATGAGTAGGTATAGTGACTAACAATGTCCACAAAAATAGGAAGCTGTTTTAAAAGTTTCAGCACGCACACAGACAATGGCTTTTCCTATTTTGAAATAGAGGCATAACTACAATATTTATTAATATCATGACAATCAAACCATTACGGTTCCATAACAACACTGCTTCTGAGTAACACCCACATCCATATTGACAAAACCCAAGTAATAAATTGTGCGCAAAGACAAAAGCAACGACAATAGTCGTATAACATGATTGGGTGCTGCATAAGAAAATAAGTTAAGTTTCCGTAATTCGTTGCATATCACAGTTGTTATTTACAGTAAAGATCAACACAGATATCTGTTCAACATGTATATGACAACACCGTATCAATACGTGTTGTAAAAATCATCACTCCAGTAGGTGTATCCAAATGCCTTGAACCCGTGAAGATCCGAGCTAGAATTGATCTTCAGTAACCCGTGCTTGTCGTGAGAGGCGACTATCGGGATCGGGTGGTCAGGCTCGCTGACGTGTGATCATCTCATTTGTGTCATTCGTTTGAAATATATCCCAGTTATCATTTTACAGTGCAACGCGCTGATATGCGCAGGTGACAAGAAATTATGACGTGTGAAATACTAAAACTTAACGTTGGAAGGTATCCATATATCAAGTCAAATAATCTATTTCGACACCGGATCAAAGTCTTCTTGGCGGCAGATAGGACACCAAGTGCCAGTTCAGATTTATTCCTAACGTCTAGACATAGTTTACCTTTGTAGCCCTGTTCCTAACGTCTAGACACAGTCACCCGTGAAGGCCCGGGTTAGAATTGGCCTTCAGTAACCCATGCTTGTCATAAGAGGCGACTAACGGGATCGGGTGGTCAGGCTCGCTGACTTGGTTGACACATGTTATCCCAATTGCGCAGATCGATGCCCATGCTGTTAATGACTGGATTGTCTGGTCCAGACTCGATTATTTACAGACCGCCGCCATATAGCTGGAATATTGCTGAGTGCGGCGTAAAACTAAACTTACTCACTCACTCTAGACATAGTCTACCTTTCAAGCACTGTTCCTAACGTCTAGATATAGTCTACATGTCTAGCCTTTTCGCACCGTCTAGACATTGTATTTTGCACTAGATGTGTTCCTATCGTTTAGACATTATATGCTATACAAGATTTGTCCCAATCCTCAAGACTCGGTACAAGATATGTTCTCAGCGTCTAGACATTGTATGTTCCACTAAATCTGTTCTCAGAGTCTAGACATTGTATGTTGTACAAGATCTGTTCTCAGAGTCTAGACATTGTATGTTGTACAAGATCTCTTCTCAGCGTCTAGACATTGTCTGCTGTTACTCCTTTGCTGGCCAGCTCGTCACGAACCCGAGCCAGATATGTCGGATCAGGGTAGCCAAATCTGAAACGTACATGAGAAACCTTTTCGGCTCGTATCCAATAATACCAGTAATAAGTAATAGATATTAACTATTACCATGAGAACCGCAATCAGTCTGACAAAATATGCGTTGAATGCTAATGGCGCATCATCATATTTGTTCAAAAACAAAATCTCGCACTTTCCATGTTTCATAATGAAACATCATTGACCTGGGGTCAATCACACATCTGAAAATACATGATTATCGAAAGCAGTCGCTTGTAGTTCCAAATAACAAAACATTAGCATTGTCAAATCTCGGACCAATTAGTTCAGATAATTGTACCTTGTCGGACCACCATCCATTGATGTTTTGTGATGAATGTCGTTCCATGTCACGACATTTTCCCTCCCGGTTGTTGTAGAACGGCCTATGGCAAATGTCAACTTCCGGTCAAAAGCAACCCTGAGATGTCTCAGGATGTCCTTTCCTTCTGGGCAGGCTGGGAGGTACGCCCGTCGTGTGATTCCCTTGTAGGGCTTACCAGGGTGAGGGTGTCCTGTCTGGATATATTTTAAAATATTTGTTTAAATGCCACTACATGCCACTATATATATATATTCAACAGCTATCGGAAAACAGTCTGTGACTGACACCATGAGCATCGATCTGGTTGACAAAACCGCTTTGATAATGCTGGAACATTGCTAAAAGTAGAACTATACCTTCTGACTCCCCTGAGCACCCGTTCCCGTAAGTCGCCTCTTCAGACAAGCATTGGTGACTGGAGACCAACTCAAAATCTACAGGTGCATACTAGTGGTTACAGCCATTATTACTTTGTCGTGTGACGCAAACATGAATTGTACGCCGACAAAGAAAGATGTACATTCAATCAAACGTCTATGAATGTTGCTAAACATCTCCAGATGCTAAACCGATGTGAAGAACTGTAATATGCCCTGGGGATGGAAGTTATGTACCCTATTCCCTCCAATAAGCGCCCGGGATCTTATTTTTTCAACGGGCTTCCAGACCTGGCACTTATTTGAGCCCCAGCGCTTATTACAGACCCAGCGCTTATTAGAGGAAATACGGTATTAGTATATTTACCGTTTGTATACCACTTGGAATGTCATAGTTGATTTGGATGCTTCCCCAGTCTTCATAACCAGGCAGGTGGGTGCTGTTGTAGAAAACCTTCATAGTTCCGTCAGGCTGGTTACCCTTGATGGTCCCATACACCATGTTGCATGTGGGACAAACAGGTTTGTGCTCCTTGAAACTGCGGTCAATGCACGATTTACAGAAGACATGGTAACATTTGTCCAGCTGCTTCAGATCAATGATGGCACCCAAACATATTGCACACATTAACATATCCTCGGAGTCACTGCCATCCTCTGTTGTACATCTGGGAACAGTGTCACCGTCAGTACTTGGTTGCGTGGCAACAGCCTTCATGTCTTCATCAGTAATGTTCTCCCAACGATAATTGTCACATCGGAAGTTTTGGAACCTCTCCTCTCCGTTACTCTTTCTTCTTGGAGATTGACCTCGGCTGCTTTTTCGGCCATTTCTTCGCGGATTGTATTCACCTCGTGAGTGACGGTGCTTGGTTTCCACGGCTAGTGACTCTGCTATGGCCCTGTCGATGTCTTCCTGTTCTTTTAAGCTGATCCTCCTGCCTTTGTTCGTCGTGGAACCTTTGGAATGACCTTGCTTTTTCGATTGGCATTCCTGAACCCATGTACCGTTACTTCGAGGTCTCGCAAAAAGTCTGTCGGGTGGAGCTATCTCAAACGTGTCCTTAACAGCAGAGATGATACGTGACAAAGTGCCTTGAGATTCCCTGCCATGCAATTCATACCTCCACTGTGTAACCATTTTGTCTGCTTTATCAAAACTTGATGCAACGAAAATAACTTCCCTTTTCTTGCTTGGTTTGTATTTAACGGTGGATCTTGCTGCGGCAATTATTGCTGACTCTTCCATTTTGGCCACACCTGAGAAAATGCAGGCCATGTAATTACCGAACTAAAAGTCTATATATACGCCCCTTATGATGTAAATATTGAAAAGTCTTCTTTTTAAATGTGGGGATGTGGCCATACTGAACCACTTCTACTTAAATTGTGTCGTCAAGTTCAAATGATCTTCAGATCGTCATAAAAGGATAACACAAATGTTTCGAAAACCTGGTCGAAAAAGTGTATCAAATACACCATGTGTCTTATAGTCTTTGTTTGATTTTGATAACAACTAAAATGTTTCGTGATGAGGAAAAATATGTCGTAAACCTGGAGTACGTAGGACGAGATTAAAACCACATATAAACATTAAATTTTGTTATGAAACAATATGAAAAAATGACACCAGGTGTTCGCGAAAAGATGAGTACATCCTGTACCCCCGGTGTTACACCAACCAAACACAAGCAATGACACTGATGTGTGCACCCAAACGAAACTCATCTCAACAACATATTTATGATAATTCCTTTTTCTCACATGATTACGTATTAATGGTAACGTTTCTTACCTGCCCCTAACAGCGGTACAGCTAGGGTCTCAATGTCCTGTTTTTCAACATGTCGGAAGAGATCTTTATACAGATACTTCATTCCCTTCATCCAGTCATCACAGTTCATATGTTCAATAAAAGCAAACAGGACATATTTAAATGACCGTCCAAGAACCTTTGGACATACAGTCCATAAGTCATGAGTTGACCTGTCTTGTCTGAGCTTATTTCTCAAATGTTCAAAATCTTTCGACTTAGCGATAAGTGCTTTAGTCACTGAGCTCTCGACGAGAAAGTCTTGGTTTTCGCCTGTGACAATGGCAGTAGCCCGAGCCTCTGTTATATCCCCATGTAGGAAGGTAACGCGCAACCCAGATGCATAAGGAATTGATTCCACAAAAGTTAGTTTTGAACTGGTCATGTTTTTTCTTGGATAGGCCATTCTGCTGAAATCAAAGAAATATTTAAAATTAATAAAAGACGCGGGTCCCATACAACCGAAGTAACGAGCCGAGGCTAATTTAATTGAAACGGAGGCGGTGTGTGTGCGTGTTTGTGTGTGCGCGCGCGCGTACATACATATAAACATACATATATACACATAGGTATAGGTATATATATATTTATCATCCAAAACTGTGTACCACAGGATATATCGCTTGTGTGAGATCAGACGATATCTCCTAGCAGATACCGTTTTGACAGTAGATTTTGCACAATGCCCTGACAATGCTATGACGTCATGAACTTGATGACGTCACAATGCTATGACATCGCTGCACTGCAATTCTAATGGCAGTACTGTGTTCAGAGATTAACATATTTCATTGAAAACTAATGAAGAGTGATTTTTTTATGATAAATAGAATCTCACCCTCGTGTCTTCTGATATCAAATATGTCAACACTCGTTGATAAAAGTAAAAATATCCTTGGCAAGCCTCGGATATTTGTTACTTTATCAACTCGTGGTGATATATTTGATATCAAAAGACACTCGGGTGAGATTCTCTCTCTCTATATATATATATATATAATAGGTATATATATAATAATATATATATATATATATATATATATGTGTGTGTGTGTGTGTGGTGTGTCTGTGTGTGTGTGTGTGTGTGTGTGTGTGTGTGTGTGTGTGTGTGTGTGTGTGTGTGTGTGTGTGTGTGTGTGTGTGTGTGTGTGTGTGTGTGTGTGTGTGTGTGTGTAACTTCTATTTAGTCATTTTTAAAAGGAGGGTCGACCCCCCTGAACCACCACCGTATATTCGTCGACATATTTGTATTATTTTTAGACGGGTTTGTAAATGACATCTGATGTCACTTGAATACCACTCAGCTCTGAAATTAATGCAGTAACTCACTATTCCTTGTAACTATGTATATTTGTGTCCACTGACTGTAGATATTATAATCGGTTTCGTGAATTGCCTTTACGTTAAATGAAAATGAAAACGAAAGTAGAGTAAAGGAAACGCATCACAAGGTTAAAGGCAGTTTCGATATGCATAACAATATATCAGCTGAAAACACAATGCTACTAGTGGTGAACAGTCTTCCCCGATTGTAATGACTGTGTTTATTACACATCACGTGCTATCACATGACTGCGGTCACGTTGTCAACGTGTGCATTCTATACATTCCCTATGGGGTTGGTTGGTTGCTTTCTGGTTGTTTAAGGCCGCACTCTGCAATATTCCAGCAAAATGGCGGCGATCTATACATAGATGAATCTGGACCAGACAATCCAGTGATCAACATCTACGCAGTTGGGATACGATGACATGTGTGAACCAAGTCAGTGAGCCTGACCGCCTGATCCCGTTAGTCGCCTCTTACGACAAGCATAGGTTACGGTAAAACAATTCTAACCGTGGTCTTAACGGGTTTCCCTATGGAGTAAGATCATATCATAATGGTCAGTCGTTAAAATCTTTATCGCAAAGCTGGTTCATCCGTAATACACTAAGTGAAGTTAAAATTGTACACACTTACCTTGCAAAGCTGTAGTTGAACGTGTTGTCAGCAATGAACGGTATCGATCGTCCGTATTACAAAGCGAAAACAGGAAGTTTATGATTCGCCAGGTCACAGTGACATAACTGTATTGTGTGGTATGACACTTGATAAACGTCACAGCAAAATGAATGTCGGTCATGTGACGTACACAGAGATACGCAGACGTGGTTTTATTTGCACGAAGGCCATGGGCGGGGTAGGAGACCAAGCTATAATCGCATTTGTAAACATCATTTCACAATGCAGTTATAGAAGACTGTGTTATTGTGTGTTCACTGTATGAAGAGATACAAGTTATTGCCATTGATAAACTGACAAACATCTAAAGAGCGGGTAGATTTCAGTTTGTAGATATGACTTCTCGGTTTCTGACACAGTGTGCAGGGAAATGGGTCATTCACACAAAGGGAGGTAATTCGCACTTTGTACTAAACATGCACTGTACAGGTTCTACTACACTAAATGAAAATCAGTTAAATAGCTCCCTGAGCGAGTATTGTAAGTAAACTTCAGTCCTGATGGAGGTATGTGACAGCTGTGATTGGATGGTATTGTGTAAGATAATTATGTTTTTTAAATGTACATCCATCCAGTAATTAAAACTGACCACATTTTTTAACATATAGTGCTGCCTTTCTTAACACGATCACTTATGCTGAATGTGTGCACATATATTTTCATGTAGGTGACATTTGGTGTGAAACTGGAGTTGATACGTTCAGCTTCCTGTGCTCGAAAATAGGGAGGCTAAGCTAGCCTGAATTTGTGTTTTATGGTAGTTTAAAGGCCAGACTGTACCCATGTGTACACGGAATGGCTGCTGACAACCCGGATGATTTTAAAGTTTACGTTACTCTAGAAGTCTATGGGAAAACATTTGGTTTTGTGTTACCTGTAAGAAGCTTGTTGAAGGGATATAATTTGTATCATTGTTTCGTATTTCTGCTGTGTAATTGATTACTGCGCAATGGTTGTGCACAGATTGAACATATGTATGTTAATGTTTATAAAATACATTGTACGTTAATATGAAGTAACAAAGATGTACTTTGGGCTGGCTAATGACTTAAGACTTGAACTTGTACATACTTAACTAGGGGACCGTTCATAATGTATGGCTGGGGGTGGGGCGTGTGATGATGATTTAAAGGGGGCTTTTTTAATCTGGGAGGTAGGGGTATCAGCAATTTTGTACACATGTACTAGGGGGTCAAGTTGTACGTATAAATATACAAAATTATGCTTCAGATTTATGGGGGGTGTAAGCTGATTTTGAACATGGCATGCAGGGGGCGGTTGTCACTTACTTTGAACATAAATTTTAAGGGTTGGGGTGGGGGGTGGGCAGTCACATTGTACATGATACTCCACAAAAATCATCATCATCCCCAAGCCATAAATTATGAACGGTCCCTATCACCTGCTAAATTTACCGGTTTATGCATACGTAACCAGTTAATTAAGTGTTTTTGTTTCTTTCACAAGCGCTGCTACTCAGATACCTTACATTTTGGTTGCACAATAAAATCATAATACTGTCCATGTGTGCATAGTGCCGAGATCCGACAACTTTGTGGGAGAAAGTTGAGGATCAGACGCTGTAAACAGAAGTTAAGAACTCGTACCTATATTTAATTAAATGTTAAGATAAGACATTCAAACTGGGCATAGGCAGTATTTCAGTAATACATTGCATTTGTTAGATTTAATGTGTGAGGCAGTCTAAAGTGATTTTAATTGTTTGAAAAAACATCACACTAATCACTGATTTTTACCGTTGATTTGACTTGACTTGAACTGAATTTGTTTTTGACGTACTTTCCCTGGCATTAACGGTTTGTTTGTGTTCCCAATATTACTTTTATGATTATGTTTTATACAAAAAGAATGTCTAATGCTTATGGGAATAATCATTTCTCCTGACCCTGTTTGTAGCTTTAGTAGGTAGCACTGGTCTTGAGCCATTAATTCTAGATTAGCTATAATAATTCTCTGTTTTTTCCGGGATTCATCATCATTGAGCGAGCATTTCTATCTATAAAAGTTGCGGTGTCACAAGGTGTTCTTTGGCTCAAACCCCATATGTCAGGGCATTCAGCTAACTGACCTAGTCAAAGGGAGGTAATAACTGCTAGCGATACATATCCAGGTGAAATGGATACGCCGAGTGGATAGAACGTGGTGTGCTGTCTATAACATATGGGCATGTACTTTACGTTCGTGTTTTCTCCATTCCAGATTTTCATCGTTTTAATTCAATACGAGGAGGATTTGTCGTGATCATAGGAGTGGCAGCACCATACTGAAAGTATTTCAAACATTCAGGAATGTAACAGTCAAGATAGCACAGAATCGTCGTTAAGGGATGCTAAAATTGACTGTATTATTGTGCGTTCGCCACGATAGTCAGTCCCGTACAAAAGTATTCTGTATTCTGTTGAGATTTCAGGAGGCAATTTTCCAGGGATGATGAATTGGCGACTACTCAAAGGATTCCATTAATTCACCCAAAAGTTCCTAGACAATAATGACCTATATTACTCAAACAAGTTAAAGAAGCCCAGATGTAAGTCATTTCATCACGTATTAAGCTTTGAGTAGTATATATTACTTACTGCCATTTTAAGCAAGAGATTCAAAATGCTACAAACAAATGAAGTGATGTCATCCAATTGTTTGAACAATAGAAAGGAAATCAAAGAAAAAGCAGATTTTCGATCTACGAATAGGAACCTTACAGTCATTATTCTACCACTTTGCATAATATACATAATATATGAAGCAGACTATATATATACTGAAGCATGAGACTTCATCTGATTGTGATCTAAAAATATACAATATTACTATTTAGAACATGGCACATGTATTACAAATATTAAAATGTTAATGCATGAATAAATCGATATTCTACATTCCCCAAAATATTTATGCTTTCATGTATCATCTGTTCAAATGATAACCTCCACTGTCAGTATGATAAGGTGTGCAAGCATGTTGATTCCTACAAAACTTTAAAGAAACAGCCGCTCCTAAACGATGATTAACCCTTTGTTAACCCAACATATGCTGACTACCACAATATTACTATTGCACGTAGAACATAAGGACACATTAACTATTACAAATATTAAAAAAATGTTATATGTCTCGTTATAGAGTCGTGCATATTCGTTTGACGTAATATTAATGTTAATTTGGTGTAGCATAAATACTTTTCATGATTTATTTAAGTAAGATTCACAAATTCCCCAAAATATTTATGCTTTCAAAATGTATCTTATATTAGGTTGAACCATTTAAGATAAAACTGTTCAAATGATAACCTCTGCTGTCAGAGAAGTCATGATAAGGTCTATATTTGAGTCTAGCATGTGCTGATTACTACAAAACATTTAACGAAATAGCCGCTCCTAAACGATGATAACCCTTTGTCACCTAGTACTTTTGATAGCATTACATATAACTTTATTTTTCATTCTACAGATGTTAAATATCACACAAGATGGTAATATTCAACGACAACAGACAGTCCCAATAAGTATGACTTGATCTTCTTTCTTAATTTAAAAGCATATGTGGATAATTAAATTTAATTAAAGTTAATTAAATTTAACTATAAAACGCCAACATCGGATAAAATAACCAGCCTCGAGTATCCGCCGAACGTCCAGCATGTCGAAAGATATCTGATCAGACAGTGCAAAAATGAAAAACGGCCGACGGTGTTTTTACGTCAACTGCTCCGTCAGTGGTGTCAAGTACCCAGAGGAAGGCCAAGCAGCGCTGAATAACGGTTAGGTTCAAGACGTTGTCCGACTAAAAATGTGACATGTAAAAGTGTGATTTCATGGGCGAGCAGGGACAACTTCAACGCGACTAGAAGTATCAATATCTCTCACACTGCCCCCTCTGTTGTGTGCAGTGTGCAGAACAATAGACGTCGTCCACGTACAAGATGAACACCTCTGTAAGGACGGCACACGTCTGTGAAGAGGAAAACGCCAATAGATAGTCAGTCAGAATCCAACATGGGCTTATTTTCGATGGAAAACGTTTGTGTAACATTTAGATGATAGTATGATGATCTTTTATGTTTCACGTTACGTCACATGCAGGGGACAGTCTAATGGTCAAAGCGTTCGCGAAGACCCCGGGTTCGATTCCACACTTTGGCAGAATGTGTAATATTGCAGGAATAAAGGAGCGTAAAGCAGCGTAAAACCAGACTCACTCACTCATTCACATGCAGATGTCTCGAAGTTGATTATCTGATTGATGATAAAATCATATTGTCAGTTATAATTTAAGATAATCTGACCTTCCACTTGATTATAAAAACAAATTTGAAACCTTAAATCACATAGAGGAAAATATGTGCTGTAATTGTTTTAGTGAGTGTTACGACATTTATATTTTCTTATAGCGATACATGAACACAAGCTGAAAGTTTGGTATTAAATGAAAATTTGCAACATGAGATTGCATTTCAGAAACTAAAATAATCTTATTGTTTTTTATTTGACGTGAATGGTTCACTCTGCTACGGATTTATGCTGTTGCAGCCATTTTGGCATTCTTGCGAAAAGTCAATGCGTGCACAGAAGCTGACGTCACATGTGAGGTACATGTCCTGGTGATGGGGCAGTTCAAAGACGTCGAAGTAGAAACGTGTTAACTTGTCAACATATCCAATGATGTGCGCTACATGGTTGGGGCCTTCACACCTGTACCAACACACAAAGGACAATAATCACATGGAACTCTCTATGGTGAAGCAACAGTTCTGTCATCATAAAAAAGCATAACATGATCTTATTCACGATTGCCTTGACTAATCTTGAAGCAACACATATCACATTTGGTATTACACTAGCCTTGCACCAAGCCTGCACTGAATGCAAACCCAATTGATGTATAGTAATCCTGTCCTTTAAAATCTTGTTAAGCCAGTTTTTGCTTGGGACCACATGGGGCTTGTAACGCCAAAACGTTGCATGGAGGTATATATTGTCACAATTGGGGTATTAGTACTATATAAACCGGAAGGGGTGTAACGAGATCAAGACTCCAAGTTCGTTTCAGGACGAATTCGACAATAATCATTGTATGTACCCTTATCAAAACAGTATCTGCGAAATGCGACATAGATCACATAAAATCGAAGACGGACATTTGAGCTAGGGTCTTCGATCCCGAGCAAATATCCCTGCTCAGAATCTGTACCGCTATTCTTTCCCAGACACTAAAATCACACACACAAACACACGCGCGCGCTCTCTCTCACACACGCACTCTCTCTCTCACACACACACAAGCATTCTCGCTCTCTCACACACACGCACACTCTCACTCACACACACACACACTTTCACACGCACGCTCGCGCGAACTCTGAGAAGAGCCTGCGCTCTCATTGTCTACACACGCACACATAAAAGAGAGCCTGCGCTCTTATTGTACACACACACACACACACACACACACTAAAGAGAGCTTGCGCTCTTATTGTACACACACACACTATAGAGAGCCTGCGCTCTTATTGTACACACACACACACACACACACACACACTAAAGAGAGCCTGCGCTCTTATTTTTCACACACACACACACACACTAAAGAGAGCCTGCGCTCTCATTGGTCTCTCTCACACACACACACACACACACACACACACACACACACACACACACACGCTCTGAAGAGAGCCTGTGTCATAAATGTCACATGAAACTGCTGGCTCTATTCAGTGCGTTTTTTCGTTACAAGCCCCTGTGATAGGGCGTTGTATTCTTTCGATTTCTATTTTCTAGAAAAGTCTATGATTACACTTCTTAAAAGTAAATTATTAATTCTGTCTAAAGAACACTCTCAGAGTCCGCCACTAATTCGCCGGCTAATGTACACAGTTTACGTGATCTTCACCACGTGTTCTCACACTACATTATGTTGTGGAGGCCTTTGTGGATGAATCGGTTGCATCGTTGACTGTGCGATTTAGTGAATCAGTATGAGAGTTGTAAATAATTACCAAACTGTACAAAGAATGTGTAATAGCAACACTGACATTTGTTACATTTGACCACAGAAAGGTGTTGTGTATTGGTATCTTTAGTAGATATTAATGATATGAGTTTACCTCTTGTGTATAAGTGCCACGTATGTCGAGTTTCCACTCGTGATGTCCGTCGTGATGTTGCAGTTGTCCACCAGCAGTTTGACATCGGCAGCAACACTGGTATCTACCTGGACATAGACACGTGACCCAAGAGGAACCTCACTCAGAGTCACATTCAGTACGTTTGTGTAAGCAGCATTTGTGAAAAACTTTATGTCAGCCTCATGACCTTGAATTTTGCTTGTTCCCAGAACGGTGACCTTGGACTTGTCAACGGGAACGAACGTTAAGTTATCTTTTTCGTGTCTTTGAAAGACACATTCCAAGTTGTAGCGCCACTTTGCACCTGTCGCTAGATTTGTCTGTGCGTCTCTCTCATATTCAATCAGATAGTTGCTGAATGTCACTGTATTGCTGCTGTCCTGAAACATATGATCTATTGGTCAAGTTCAATGTGTATGAAGTACGAGCATGTATTTTCCCAATATATATTTGTAAGAACGTCGCAGGAGCCTCCCAAGGCTTCGATCATCGACCAGCTGGTTTTACATTTGCAGTCCCATTGATTCCAAGTTCGCAAATTCAAAACAGGCAGCATGTTTCTGTTACGGGGTCATTCAATCATGGTAAATGAAAAACTGAGCCCTCGATCTCACTAAAGGGACAGTTCCAGAATTGTGTTGAAAGTTGTTTGATCATGGTTTACCACATGCAAGTCCTCAGTAAAGCTCCCTGTAGGAGACATTAAAAATAAAGACTTTACACTTCGATAAGTGTGTTGCAATCGTCGTAGTAGACATTAAACACAAGGACATCATACTTCGACAAGTGTGTTGCAATCATTACAAGAGACTTTAAACACAAGGACATCATACTTGGATAAGTGTGTTGCAATCCTTGTAGGAGACATTAAACACAAGGACATCTCCCTCCAGGACGCCAGGACAGAAGGCGTTCGACATGAAGATATTCTTCTTGACAGAGGTCGGGAATACAGTGGCGATGTCTTGAGTATTCACGGTGACTATCCAGTTGTCTTGAGAGCAAGTTAGGTTAACCGAGTGTTCCAGAGATACTGAAACATGTACAGGTACTGCAGTTATAGCATTATACATAAAGTTCAAGAATTAAGGTGAGGGTTAATATTATGATAAAGCACACAAATGCTGAATCTGAAAAAAATGTTGTTAAAATATATTATATTGATAAGTCTAAATCTACATTCAACACTGATCCAACCTCGTTAAGTTAATAAGAAAAACTCTACTGTTTGTTTCTTTGTTGATAATAACAGGCTCACACATGCAAGTAGGAGTAATGCTATTTTTATTACAGCGGGGGTAAAACATGGGTGCACATTGTTTCTGATATTTACACAGTTTTCAGTTACTCTAGGCATCTAGGCTGATTGTGAACCCCTTTTGGCGAACACTGATTTTCAGTTGTCCATTCAATGGATTCTTACCATTTACTATTTACACTAAATGTATTCTATTTATGAAGACAGTCAAAACTGGCGCTGACGTTCTGTTGCTACACATTTTACATGCTCACTCGGGTGAGCTTAGAATCTAATCTATACTCACCACCACTGTTATCTAACACTGGGACGCTGAAATACCCATACATCTCGTTGTCTGCTGTACCAGTGACAAGTACGCCAAAAGGACACACTGAGGAATTACTTTTAATGGCGAGGGAACCGGAAGTGGGGTAGAAGCTGGCTATGGCGAATGTCTGTGAATCTGTTGACCGATCTGACCAGTTTTCATTGATGTTTATATGTGATGTACACTTTGAGCTTGTCATGATAGTGACCTGTCTTGTGTACGTCTTGGAACTGCTCTGGATGTCGGGTATTACATAGTCAGTGCCATAGGCATCAGTTGGTCGAACGATCGAAGTAAACACCTGGTAATCAGTTGTACCGGCTATTTGTAACACAAGTACTGGATGAGAGCTTCTGATGTATACAGCAAATGTTTTATTGAAGTAGTTATCGTAAACCTCCGCTTCATTCAAGACGATAGACTCAACACTTGTGAATGTGTCAATGGTGATTTTGGTACCATTATACACTGCTGTAATTCGAATGCTGTATTGATCAATTCCAGGAACCAGGGGCACAATGAATGATGTCCCCCATGTTTCTATTGGGGGAACTTGACTCATAGCTCCATCACATGTATCCCCAGGATAGCACAACAAAGGAGAGCCTGAAAACACTGCAACTGAATGACTGCTCTCTACAACTGTCCGTCCCAGGTTACATACATTGAGAGTACTACTTGCGTTAGAAGTGAACTGGAGCAACTCTCCCTGTTGCAGGGCAATATTAAACTTGCTTCCCTGCCCGTAATCGTAACCCCTGAAGGAGTAGGAACAGGTGGAGTTGAGATGGACAGTGACATTTGTGTTGTTGTGGACAGACAACACTCCGAGCAAAGCGTTGTTTGGCACTGATGGTATGATATACTTGGTAGACAGAGACGCCAATGGGAGGACCGGAAATGCATCGGCAACACCCCCAGGAAGGAATCTGTGCATGACAGTGAGACTGACTTCCGTTGTGCAAATAAGCTCCACTGCACGATGCTCCTCCACAGCAGTACCCATGGTCAATATTCTGTTTGTCGGAAGGTGGAACTGTGTCACACTGTCGTTCCCGGGCAGCTGGATATCGTACTCTGACCCGTCGACGTCTGTCACGTTGCACCTGCCTTCTCTTGTATGTGTGATATATAGAAAAACAGCCGTTGTCCCTTGTTTACTTGAATCAATAAATGGCAATAGGGCAAAATTAAACTGATAGCCGAGGTACATCGCTGAACCTGATTGATGAAAAAGAAAAATACAGGTCTTCAGAAATGGAACCCATCACACTAATTCTTTTATCATTTATTTTTACCGCTAGACTAATATTTTTGTACTTATTGTTGTCATTTGCTCAGTACGTGTACCAGGATACTGTCTCATTGTCTGTAGCTTTTGTCATGGAATATGTAGCTTTGACGTAGAAGAAGCTACATGTTTTCCCCAGTAAGGACAAGATATCAACGCTGTATTGTCTATTCCCTGTGTTTTGCGGTATTATCAGATATCTTTACAGCTTTAAGGATCTAAAGAAAAATTAACACTGACCAGCAACTTGGAGTATTAAAAGCATAAACAAATGCATTTTATTATTAAACACTATGTGCAGAAAATCATTTGCGATCATAAGATTAATACAACTGTACTCTTATCAGATATCTTTGACATTATTTGACATTATGGACTGTATATCATGGTTTCAGTATGCAATTCTCACCAGCAGCTGAGCTTGTGATGCAGAGCATCCATAGCAGTAGTCCGGTGGAGAACATGACTGTTATTAGAGGCTCTGTGCAGTGAATGCGTCACTGTGTACTTGGCAGAGCCATATATAACTGAAGATGAGATAAAGGACCATATGTATGTCATCGCGCATGTGTGGGTGACAGGTGGAACTCAGTCTTCCTCCAAAGCAGATCGCTAACAGTACAAGCTGTTAACTGATGAGAGAATCCAGAAAACCTACATTGATTCGATACTTAGGACACTTTGGACTGTCTTTGAAATGAAGATCACACGTTTCTATTTGTTCAGGATTTTACACGAAAAGTAAATCCACTTAAGACCAAGAAAAGAGGAAATTTATGATGATTAAATACTAATCAAATGTATCTGCAAAGCATTTAACTCTTTGACTTCATCAATTATAACTTCAGACAGGGTATGATGCCACAGCAGGGAGGCATACTGGCAGTTGTTACGTGTGGATTCCCAAGCTGTAACCGGAGAATCAGTCCTTAATAGAAAACTGTGAAAAAACAAACAACAAAGAAATGTATGCAATGAACAATTGTATTCTAGTATCCAACTCAATATGTATCAATACAAAGGTAACACTATGGTAGTACACAATTGTTTGGCAGTAGAAGTTCAGTTAGTGCTGTTCACTGCTGTTTTGTCGTGAATTCAACGGAATGTGTTTCGTGAGACAGTCACGAATGATTTTTCTCTGCATGTTTGTGTTCTCAGTATTACCTTTATGGTTATGTGTTGTTTAAAAATGTCTAACGGTTCTGGAAATAATCATTTTTCTTTTCCAGTTTCTCTCCTGTTCCTTTTGGTAGTTTGAGTAGATAGCACAGTCTTCAGTCATTAATTCTAGATAAGCCATAATCATTCTGTGTTTTTTTTCTGGCTACATCATCAATGAGCGAGTATTGCTATCTATAAAGTTGCGGTGTCATAAGGTATTCTGATTTTCACCGTTGTTTTGATTTGAATTGAACTGAATTTGTTTTTTGACGTACTTTCCCTGGCATTAATGGTTTGTTTGTGTTCCCAAGATTATGTTTTATACAAAAAGAATGTCTAATGCTTATGGGAATATACATTTCTATCTTTTAAAGTGCCATAAGGTACTCTGACCCCATATGTCAGGCCATTCAACTAACTGACCTAATCAAAGGGAGGTAGTAACAGGCGAAGTGGATACGCCGAATGGATGGGACGTGGTATGCTGTCTATAACATATGGGCATGTATTTTGCGTTCGTGTTTTGTCCATTCCAAGTTGTTTAATTGTTTAAATTCGATTCTAGGAGGAGGTTCTGTCCTGATCATAGATGTGTCAGCACAATACTGAAAGTATTTCGAACTTTCCGAAAAGTAACAGTCAAGATAGCACAAAATCGTTCACAGCCATGTTAAACTGAATTCTCTTCCCGATGCCACCGCAATAGTCAGTTCCGAACAAAAGTATTCTGTAATCTGGTGTGATTTCAGAAGGCAATTATCCTTGGATGATGAATGGGCGACTATTCGTAAGATGACGCATTTCTACCCCTAAATTCAATTAATTAATTCCAAAGTTCTGAGACGATAATGGCATATATCACTCAAAACAAGTTGTGTTTCATATTATTCATAGAAGTCAAGACATCAGTAATATAAGCATAAGTATATACTAAGTACTGCTATTTTAGCAAAAGTATCAAAATACTTCAAACAAATATTTAAATGATGCCATCCTATTGTTTGAACGAAAAACAGATCTAAGAATATTCCTAGGAACCCGACTTTCATTCTTCTACTACTTTGTATAATATACTGACGTTAATATATATAAAACATACAGTTTCTTCAATGTATGGACTTCAGGGATGTATCTAAAACATACTGGAATGCATGAATGAATCGTGAAAACATCTTCATGTACGGTGTGTCAGTCTGTCATGTCATAAAGTGCATCACAATATTTATATACTATACTAAGAAGTGTTGAACACATTGTACAAATTGTCATTTAATGTATCACATGCCAAATTCAAAATTGTGAATGCCGTTTAGGATACATATTTGTTTAATAATAAACGATAATTCTTAACTGAAAAAAATATATAAGTTTTCAAAATATATATTATGTTATGTTGAAGCATGTAAGATAAAGTTGTTCAAATGATAACCTCCAATGTCAGAGAAGTCATGATAAGGTTTATATTTCAGTGCAAGCATGTGCTGATTCCTACAAAACTTTTAAGAAACAGCCGCTCCTAAACGATGATTAACCCTTTGTTAACCCATTCTACATATGCTGACTACCACACAATATGGTAACATTGAGATGCACGTCAACAGACAGCCCAATAAGTATGACTTACGCATTAACTTCCTTATCAATTTTAAAGTAAATCAGGATAAAAGTTAAACTTTTAAAATTTAACTATAAAACGCCAACGTCGGATAAAATAACCAGTCTCGAGAATGCATATACAGAGTCGTGCAAAAAGTATTCGGCACTTGACGTAATTTCCACAGAGTTACATGTTAATTTGGTGTAGCATAAATACTTTTCATGAATTTAATTTAAGTCAGATTCAAGTCAAATTTGGAACATTTGTTAGGAATCATCTTACCTACAATCACATAATTTCTGTTTAATTTGCCGTTGCTTATTTATCGAATGGCAACAATTTAACCAACATATGTACAGTGCCGTGAACTCCTTTAAATAGTGGTCGGAAAACTGAACTGAAATTATGTGCGCAGAGGAGAAATGATTTCAAATTTGCCGGCAAATTTGACAAAGATCCATCCTAAACACACATCATGAAAATTATTTATGCTACACTGAAATAGCATGTAAGTCTATGGAAATTACGTCAAGTGCCGAATACTTTTTGCACGGGTCTGTACGTCCAGCATTGCGAAAGATATCTGATCAGACAGTGTTTACGTCATCCGTGCCAACCGCGCCGTCAGTGGTGTAAAGTACCCAGAGGAAGTCCTGGGCAGCACTAAGGAACCGTTTAGTTCAGCTTCGTTTTTTTCAGCGACATGACCTCATGATGCAGACTTCAGGCGCGACATGACGTCGGACGTTTTCCGAGTAGCATGTGACTTATATAAAAGTATGATTTCAAAACGGAATGGCGAGCAACGCGATAAGAATAATCAATATCTATCACACTGCCACCTCTGTTGTGTGCAGTCAAGCAAAACAATGGACGACGTCAATGTACAGGATGGACACTAAAACGGATGTCACCTCTGTAAGGACGGGTTGAAGAGGAGAAAGCGTAATAGGTAGTCAAGGGGAATACAAGACGGACTTATATTCGGTGGAACACGTTTATGTAACATTTAGAAAAGAATGTGATTCTAATGTTTCACTTTACACTTCCCATGCATGGGGCGGTGGGGCAGTCTAATGGTCAAAGCGTTCACTCATCACAGCGACGAGCCGGGTTCGATTCCCAACTTTGGCACAATGTGTAAAATTGCTGGAATAATCCTTAAAGAAGGTAAAACCAGACTCACTCACTCACGCACTCACTCACTCACAGATGACTTAGTGTCGAAATTGATTCTTTGATGTATGATCAAAGTATATTATCATAAATAAATGAGGATAATCTGCCCCTCCACTTGATTATAACAACAGATTCACAAACATAGATCACACACAGGAAAACGTGGGCTGTACCTGTTTTAGGGATTTTTTTAGCCATCTTTTTCTTATCGCGTTAAATATACACAAGTTGAAATTTTGTACGTTTTGGGGATTGGCTGAAAATTTGCAGGATCGGATTGCATTTCACAAACTACATCATAAAGTTATTCTTTCATTTGGCATAATCGGTTCTTTCTGCTACGGATTTGTGCTGAGGCATTCACTTTGGCATTGTGATGAAAAATCCATGAGTGGACAGAAGCTGACGTCACATGTGAAGTAGAAACGTGTTAACCTGTAAACATGTCCAATGATGTGCGTGAAATGGTTGGCTTCACACTTGTACCAACACACAAAGGGCAATAATCACATGGAACTCTCTATGGTGAAACAACAGTTCTGTCATCATGAAGGTTTTTCACATGTATTCACTTTGTTATTTCCCCTTCTAAGTAATATTATATATGATCGTTATTACATAATATCACATTTGTTACATGTGTCCACATAATGGTATCGTGTTTTCGTATCTTTACTACATATTGTTGAGACGAGTTTACCTGTTAAGCATAATTGGGATTTGTGTCGAGTTTCCACTCGTGACGTAGCAGTTGTCCACCATCAGTTTGACATCGGCAGCAACACTGGTCTCTACCTGGACGTAGACACGTGACCCAAGAGTAACCTCATGGAGATTCCCATTCATTTCGTTTGTATAAGCAGCATCTGTGAAACACGTTATGTCAGCCCCATGACCTTGAATTTTGCTTGTTGTCTGAACGGTGACTTTGGACTTGTCAACGGGAACGATCTTTTTTACATTGGTTACGTGTCTTTGAAATAAAACCAAGGGAGGCAACTCTGGAGCTCTATCATAAAGGCGTACCGCTAAAAATAGTATTGCCATTGAACATATATGATGCGAAATGTGACCCACAACCCACACTCAAAACTTTAAACATTGTGACCCATAATAACTATTACCTAATCAATGATAATACAAATTACAAAAAACACACTCTCAATCTCTCTTTATTCTGGTGTATGTAGGCCATCGGCCCGTAGTACAATATTACAATGTTAATGATTCATGCCAACCCTGTACATTCAAAAGGAAATGAGTCTAGATTGCTAATACACTGGCCCAATTAATTTTACCATGGGAAACATCTAGCAACATTAAGTTATAACAGTTTTTAGGAAAACGCAATGTCGGCATTTTCAACAACTTATACCAATATTTGACACAGCGTTTGTACGTATAAATATATATGGCATATCTGCCACATTCCCCACGAACAACCTCAATGGACGTAGATGATTTAACACCAAGTACATTTTTACAGGCCAGCGTCTGAACCCTCTCCACATTAGAACTGATATCACAATCTAGCCCCCAGACTTCAGCGCCATAAAGCAAAATTGGCGTTACTTTCGA